TGATGAGCATGGGGCTCGAGAAGAAGGCTGATGTTCAACCTGCCTGCTCACAGCCAGGGTCTCCCGTGGGCCGGCAGGGGATGCTGCCGAGTAAAAGGAGCAAGGCTGTCCCCGGGGAGGGCAGTGCCTGCAGGAAAGCCTGTATCAGTGGCTTCAGTGCCAGCCGCTGGGGCAGGCACACGAGGTGCCGGCCCAAACCTTACAGAAACAAGAGGCAACAGCAGCCTAACAACTCCTTTTTCAGGCCACGAGTGAGGCAAAAAGGAGCACAGCAGAAGGGTGTCCAGGAGATGTCTATAGATGTAAGAGACAATGACTCTTCACTCCTCAACAGCTCCCGTTCCTGGGCTAGAGTTCGAGCATCTCTGTCCTTCCATAGGAAGAAGAAAGTGACCACAGGAGAGAGTTTCTGCAACAGCATCCTGCGTTCTCCTTCAGGGAAATCCCAGCTCTCAGGTTACCAAGCCAGTCTGTCTGCTGTGAAGGATCTGGGCTGCTCCTGGTCTGCTTCCTCCATGGCCCTGCTGGCTCCCAGCACTTCTGTCCTGGAGCCAACACTTACAGATGCAGAGAAGGTGTTTGGGGAGTGCCAGCAGGAAGGGCCTATTGCTTTTGAGGAATGCATTCCTTTAGATAAGATGAAAGATTGCAAGAAGATTGGGGAAGGAGTGTTTGGAGAGGTGTTCCAGGTGGACAGTGAGAGAGGACCTGTGGCCTTAAAGATCATTCCCATTGAGGGCACTGAAAAAGTAAATGGTGAAGCTCAAAAGAGCTTTGGAGAGATTCTGCCTGAGGTCATAATTTCTAAAGAACTCAGTCTGCTGTCTGAGGAGTCTGTGAATAGGACTGTTGGTTTCATCAGCCTGTACTCTGTGCACTGTGTCCAAGGGGCCTATCCCAAGTTTCTCCTGGAAGCCTGGGACAAGTACGATGAAGAAACGGGATCAGAAAACGACCGACCGGACCTTTTTGGGGACGAGCAGCTCTTCATGGTGCTGGAGTTTGAATTTGGAGGCCATGACTTGGAGCACATGAGGTACAGTTTCTCCTCAGTGGCATTGGCAAAAAGCATTCTGCACCAGGTCACTGCTTCCCTGGCAGTGGCAGAGCAGGAGCTGCACTTTGAGCACAGGGACCTGCACTGGGGGAATGTGCTGGTCAAGAAAACAGATGTAAAGGAGCTTCACTATGTGCTGAATGGGGCAACACACACCATTCCCACAGCAGGGATTCATGTCAACATCATAGATTACACCCTGTCCCGGCTGGAGAAGGATGGGCTAACTGTCTTCTGTGACCTCTCCACGGATGAGGAGCTGTTCCAAGGCACAGGGGATTACCAGTTTGATATCTACAGACAAATGAAAGCAGAGAACTCCAACAACTGGACTGACTATCAGCCACACAGCAATGTCCTCTGGCTGCACTACTTGGCAGATAAACTTTTGAAAGGCATGTCCTACAAGAAGAAGGCATTAACTGGTACCCTGAGGAACGTGAAGACACAGCTCAACAAGTTCCACAGGGAGGTGCTGACTTTTGAGTCTGCCTATGATGTTTTACACCACAGCAGCCTCTTCCAGTGAGCAAGGCAGTGCTTCCAAGGACTAAGGCACTGGTACTGCCTTTCTGCTTTTTTTAAAAACCTTTTAAATGTTGGCACAATGAAATCTTATGATTGGTTACTGATGGGTGTAATATGCTATCAAAAATGTCTAAGAAATTCCTCTCCAAAGGCTTCTGCTTGAAGATGTCTCCACATCTAATGTTTTCTAGGGGAGACAACAGAACTGACTCTTGAGAAAGTGGGGAAAAGGATTTCTTGAAGCTCAATTAATGCTCTGAGCTCCATATAAATTTTCTTACCTTTGTAGTCTTAGATCATTAAAAGGTTTTTTTTTTACTATATTGTCTTTCTTACAAATTCTTTTTTAAAGTGAAAGATTCAGTTCTGGACAGTGAGGACAATATTCTTAGCTCAGTTGGAGACAGAGAGGGGAAAACCCACATTTGCTTTAGTTTTAAAACTGAACTTTTGGTCAGTTTGGCAGAGTTTGTACCTGGGATGATGACACAAAATGGAAATGTGTAAAGTTTCTGGACAGTGTTTTAAAACCACTAATCTGCAATAATATGGATTTTCCCCTATGTTAAGGGCCAGTGAAGAGGTATCTGATTGTGGGGGGGAAAAAAGACAAAATACCTGTGATCCTGATGTGCTTTTGATGGTTATAACATTGTGTCCTTGTACACTGATAGGAACCCAAATCTGGAACTTGGTGGTAGCATTGAAGTGATGTTTCTCCATTTATCTACAGAAGAAAATGCACAAGGTAATAATTGTTCTTCAGTCCTGAGTGCAGCTGGACCTGGTGCCTTAAACTAGAGGCTACCCTTGGATTAAATCCTGGTTCTTTGTTTTCAACAAGTCCTTTGCTAACATTCACATAAAGAAACTGACCCAAAGAGAAGGATAAATCAAACTGTGAAAAGTGATTTGGTTATTACCCACTGACACAGATGCACTAAGTAATGAAGAGGCAGCATCACCAAACCCATTGCACCTGGAATGCTCTCTGCAGTCAGTCTGTGCAAGTGTTTATAGGTGCAGTTTAGCATTTGCTGCATCTTTCACCCTCTCTTGAAGTCTCCTTTTTCCCAGCTCAGCAGTTGGAGACCCTGAGTCCCCCCCAGCCTGTAGTGGTGTCACTGCTCTGCCCTCCAGACTCTGCCTGTGCTGCCTGGTACCACAGAAAGTGACCTGACAATCTGCAGTGCTTGAAAAGATTAAGATGGAAATTGTATTGGAATCTTACCAGGTATCCTCTCAATCTCTTTTTCCCCCTCTAATTGACTAAAGTAATGCAATAGAATTGAATGTTCTTAAATCCTCCTTGGTAGGGAGAACAGTGAATGCTTATCTGACATCTTCACTCACAGTGGTGCTGTTTTCATTTAGGCTTAGGAAAAAAGGATGGATGAAGCCATTTTATTATTCCCCTGCCTTTATTTCTGTGCTTTGAGAACTGCTCACATGTGCAGGACAGGAGGGATGAGGACAGTGGCAGCTCATGGGGTGACATGGTGCAGTAACCCCTAGTTACAAGAGATTTTGGAATCTTCCATTGCTTTGGAATGTTTCCCTGCAAACCAATTTGCTCATTTGTGAACATGTAATTGTGTTTCATTAATCCAAATTCAAAAGCTTTTATCCCTGACAAAACTGGACATTAAATTCATCTCCAAACCTTTGCCTTGATGTGTGCTTGCAAGGAAGTGCAGCTGTCAGAGATGAGTTCTCACTTCCTTTTTAAAGATGATTTCTGGTTAGTAAAAGTACAGAAACACTAGTGTACTAGTGATTCCCCACAAATTTCAATGGGAGGATGGTGACAAGAAAGGAATCTGAATGGTAACTTCCCTCTGATCAAGGACAATGCCCTGAACATATCACAGAATTATAGGATTTAAGGGTTGGAAT